CCTCTGGAGTCTTTCTACCCAGTTATAGCTCCATGTAAATTAAATGTTTGTAAATTTTTTGATAGTTTTTGCATTAAATTTTACTTATAAGCTCCAATTTCAATTAATGTAACACCAATACACCAATTATCATGTTAATTATTTTTTAATTTAATGCAACGTAAACAAGACATATATAATGCGTCCTAAAGAACATTGACCAGTGCAATTGGAAAACTCGGCGCTTTGCCGAATTCACGGTATAAGGGAGATATCCCAGGATATAAGTCTCTGAAGTTGTCTCCCTTCCAATTAAACTTTAGGAGAGGACAGACCCAGATTTTAAAAATGTCACAGTGATTTGCCACGAAATTTAGGAAGATAAACCCTTCATGATAAGCACAAGATAAAACAAAAGTATTTGTTATTATACTTGAGGTCAAAGTCTAAATGTTGTTGGGAGTATAAAGACAAAGAAATTAATGAAAGTGGAAACCTTTTTATAGAATGTGTTCTATTTCATTCTGTGATAATATGCACTCCTATACTTACCACTACTAGAACTTGTTCCAGTAGAACCTCCGGATCCTGTGGACCCGGATCCGGTGCTTCCACTTCCGAATGAGCCTCCATAGCAACAGGCCTCCAAAAATCCACAGTAGCTTAGGGTTTGAAAGGTCCCTGATGGACACCCGCTTCCGAATATTGATACACACTGCCCGTGGTAAACTGACACACACGCTGAAACAGGCAAAGTAAAGAGAATTTGAGAATATTTTATCTGAGTATGTCATATTTGTTTAACTATATCATTCATGACTTTGAAGACGTCCTTACAAATATCCGACTATGAATCTCACTAAAAAAAAGGTTAAAACTATTTTACCGAGCATTATTTAGTATCGTTTTGCTGTTTGCTTTCACTAGATCGAAAATGGTTGGATTAATCGGATATATATATATATATATATATATATATATATATATATATATATATATATATATATATATATATATATATATATATATATATATATATATATATATATATGTCTGTGTGTGTTGTTGTTGCTGTGAGGCTTAACGCCATTTTTTAGCACACAATAGGCTTTACATGGCGACCAGTATATTAAAGGTGGAGGAAGAAACCGGGAAATCCGCGGAAAGAACCACCGACACACAGAAGCTACTGGCAAGCTTTCTCACATATCCACATTTGCCGAATCTAAGACTTGAACCCACGCAGGCAAAGGTAGGATGGCAGTGAGAGCGCTTTAAACCACTCGACCACTCAGAGCCCGTATGTATGTATATATGTATGTATGTATGTATGTATGTATGTATGTATGTATGTATGTATGTATGTATGTATGTATGTATGTATGTATGTATGTATGTATGTATGTATGTATGTATGTATGTATGTATGTATGTATGTATGTGTGTGTGTATGTGTGTGTATGTATGTATGTATGTATGTATGTATGTATGTATGTATGTATGTATGTAATGTATGTATGTATGTCTGTCTGTCTGTATGTATGTATGTATGTATGTATGTATGTATGTATGTATGTATGTATGTATGTATATGTATATATATATATATATATATATATATATATATATATATATATATATATATACACACACAATCATATCTTAAAATTATGGTCAAGTTTTTATAATTTGTATTAAGTAAAAGATAGGATACTGGCTATTCAACTTCTTACCTAAATAGGACATTCCTGGCATAACCGTTAGAGCAAAATATTAAATAAAGATTAGATTGCGTTCTTAATTTATTACACGGCATTATCCAAAGAAACACCTTTTTAATTTATGAAGATGAAGATATAATACGTGACACATATACACGTAACGCCCTTAGCTGGTACAAAATTAGGTCATTAGCCTAAAGGTCATCTATTAGCTAGTTAAGGTCAGTTTTGAATGATATGATTTCGGGTGAGTTTTTTATGCGCGGCAGTAGATGATGTCTTTGCCAAAGAGAAGGAAATAATATTTATTAATATCGTTTAAATGTAATTCTATTTGCTCAGAGTGGACTTGTTTCTTCTCAGCGTGCAACAATGTAACCTTTTCAGAATATATTCAGCAACACTTATCAAAAATAAACCATAGTGATGAGGGAAGATTTTATTATTTCTTATTGTAATCGCAGTTCATAAATTTTAATCAACATTGAATTTGCCACAAAAGTTCACCTCTGTTGTCCAGTTCCTTGCAAGTACTCATAACTATGAAACCAGAATAATTCCTATATTAATTAGAAATGAAAGTCCGACAAAGTTTTTTTTTTAAGAATTAGTCAAAGTCCGTCTGGAATATCATGATTTGCGACTCAAAAAAAAACAACAAAACATTATGATGCCTATTATTATATCTTGGATCTGGAAATCTGTGGAATATTTAAAAAGATTCAAGTAAAGGAAAATTGTACTTTTCGGAGGACATACACCCCTCTCCCCACCTAATGTACTTGCATTGAAAGTTTGATTACATTTGGCGTTCACTACTTTCAATGTTGCATTTGCACATAACGTGTTAAGTATCACATTTAGAGTGAATATCGTTTATCTTTCTCAGCAGTATGTAAAGGCGATATTGTTTATATTAGGAATTAAAGTTTTGTGGTTATATTGTGTAAAGATTTAATTTAATTTTACAATAAACTTTATTCCAAGGAAAAACAGTTTAACTAGTTTTGTTTTTTATGTTGCATTCGATCTGTGCAACACACACACGCACACACACACAATCACACACACATCCCAACACAGTCACATCACCACATACATACATAAGTAAATATTGTGTGTGTATTATATATATATATATATATATATATATATATATATATATATATATATATATATATATATATATATAGAGAGAGAGAGAGAGAGAGAGAGAGAGAGAGAGAAAGAGAGAGGGAGAGAGATAGATGCAATAAACTGACGACGAACAGTACGAAACTAGTAACTAACTAGCCTAAGCGCTTTCGACTCTTAATGAGTCTTTTTCAAAGGCAAATACAAAACATATATACGACAAACAAATAAAGACAAAAACGTTGTGTTTGTAAACCTTGTGTTTATTTGTTTGTCGTATATATGTTTTGTATTTGCTTTTGAAAAAGACTCATTAAGAGTCGAAAGCGCTTAGGCTAGTTAGTTACTAGTTTCGTACTGTTCGTCGTCAGTTTATTGCATCTATTTTAATCAATCCCTGACACACGTGATCCCTTGGTGGATCCAGTACACTTGAAAGGGTTGTTATTCGCCATATGACTTGTATTCTTTATATATATATATATATATATATATATATATATATATATATATATATATATATATATATATATATATATTCAAACCCAAATCGATGAACGCGGAACACGTTATTAATAGTCTAGCATAAATTAATCAAAATGAATCAAAATTTCAGTTATCTCAGTTGATGGAAGACTTAATGCAAATTTCTTTAATAATGAGGTGACTAGTTAAGTGACTAAAGTGAAACGCGGATTTTTTTTTTTTTGTATCAGGGACAAGAAATGTGACTCTGGGTTTGATTTGCACACTATAATAGATAGTCGATTTACTATGAACACGTTATAGGTCAATCATTGTTTTAAATAGCAAGTAAATAATGTATATTATCTGCCTAATTCCTCTTGTAACCCAGTGTTCACACCAGTGGCGAATTTAGACACTTTGGGGCCCTTTACAACCCTTGTTCTCCCCCTTTTCAGTCTTTATTTATCTGAGAAAGATATACTTGTAACTTGTCACAGCGTATCGATATTTAGATATATAACTAATTGGTGAAAAGTAAGACGACAAATCGTAACCGTAAGTTAATGAGGCGTTTTACTGGGCCCTTGGTAGTTTGGGGCCTAAGGCAATTACCGACCTTTGTCTAATGGTAAGTCCGCCTCTCGTTCTCACTTATACTCAAAATCTAACACCTTGAGAAAATTTCATTATCACAAAAATGGGTATTCTATCCTTGCTTAATTCCATAAATGATTTTGAATTTTATTATGAACTAAATTTGTTCATTCTTTGCATTTATGTCTATGATGGCGAAAACTGATTCCTGTAAAAGTGTGGATGAGTCCTGTTCCTGACAATGTCAATTCTGACCGCAAATTGGTGTATACTTACCTGTTTTTGGCAATCTTTAACTGGACATGAACTGGTCTAAGGACAAACTTAGGTCATGACTTGGTCATGCAGTACAAACAGGTAATGGACTCTGTCAAATTATGGTAGAATATGGGGAGACACTTTTTAATTTGAAATATGTCCCATTTTATTTTATTATTTAAAAAAAAACTTGCATTTGTATTCATTGATTTGTACATGCAAATCATCCAATCTCCATTTCACTATATAATGCATTAAATTTGAAATTGATTTTCTAAGAGCGCTCTGTACTTCCCTACCGCTCACTTGTCTAGTGGTTAGAGCGTCAGCCTCTGATGCGGGAGGTCGTGTATTTCGATTCCGGGCTGAGTCATACCAATATTTATTTTTAAAGAAATGGTATTAACAGCTGTTTCGCTTGGTGCTTAGCATTAATATATTACTTAAACGTTAACAATTAAAAGAACACACACATATTTCCTCTCTTACAAGTACAAGAGTAGTATGCAACGTGTACTTACTTATCCTACCGGCTATGGTTTAATGGTTTAAGGCCATGTGCTTCCTAACATGAGGACAAAATTGGGTGTTGAACACAGTAACATGTGTGTGATCTGGATTTTTAACGTAGCTTTAACAATTTTTTTTAGTCATATCGATACGATGTCTGCAGTGTGGCAGTTTATAGTGATGTCTAGCACTGGGGCATAACGCCGCAGATATTTAGCATGATGTCACACCCAGTCACATTATCATAACACCAGGCCAACCAGTTCTAACACTGACCTCTTAATGCTGATCGCCAATTGAGACAGCTGTATGCAACAGTTTTGTAAGTCTTTGGTATGACCCGGCCGGGGATCAAACGCACGACCTCCCGCATCCGAGACGGACGTTCTAACCACTAAGCCAACGGAGCGGTCGAACACAGTAACATTGCCTACGTAAAAAGTGGGATAATCTGCTATGCAAAATATAAATGGCAATGATTATTTTTAAAAAGTATATGATAGCTGAATTCAGACTCTCTGGAAAGTTATGTATACCAAGAGCAAATACACTGACAATTCTAAAACTTTCTGAAATAAAATAGACTTTTTAAAACTAGAGAAACTTTGTAATTATAGGATTGGATTGGACAATACTGACTTTCATATTCTTTTTTAATCCATTTATAAATCTAAAAATCCAAATAAATCTCTCACACTCACACACACACAAATCCAATACTAACGACAAATCAGTTCAATCAGCATTGTGATTAATATTAATTGTAGATAGTATGGTCATATACCAGACTACCGTTAATAATGCTGAGAAATGGTCATCTGCATATCATATTATATGCCAAGGTGTAGAACACATAAGTCACGGCTTAAACTGAACTTCCATATGTCACGAAAACTAAACAGTGTTAACAGAATACACAGCTATACCTGAAATACAGGAAACTGCGTGTATAGTCTTGGTTAAAGCGCAATTTGAATATGTATCCTGAGTCTAGGCCCATACACGTTGGCAGCGCGAGGGTTTGAGTCAAAAATAATTACTCACAAACTGCTAATGTAAGATCAAACTGCCCGTGCAGATCAAATTAGGCTGTCTATCCCTCTCAAGACGACGCCTCGCTGTTTAATTGGTCATATTTTATAAAATTGTACATAAACTTATGCATTCCCTTATCACCTTGTACCAGAATAAAATGGCGTATGCACGTCTTCCTTTGCCCAAATTCAGTGAAACATGAGTTATTAGGATTGTTGCTCTCTTCCTCTGACCATCGTATAGTGGAATAAATTTCTTCAAAAAGTCTGTCTTTCCGGAACTATCGTCCTTCAAATCAACAATTTGTGCAGTCATTTTATACTATAAAATCATTATTTTGGTTTGCTTCTTTGTTTGTTTGTTTGGTGTTTTTATGCTATTATTTACATTTTCTCTAATTTTAGCATTAATCACAGTCAAATGTTGGCTTGTGTCACGTTGTCGTTAATATTTCGTCTCCCACTGAATTTTCACATAAAACAGCACATCTTCCAAGAGACTGGGTACAACCTGATAATTAAATATCATTACATCTTTTTACAGGACTGCTTCCAACTGGTAGTCACAATGCATTCGGTCCTGTGTAAGCAACAAGACTATATGGTGCAAGTTTTTGATCCAATTCTCAAAGTTTGTTATGTTTTTTTTAGGTATTATTATAGACAGCGGATTGTTTTATGCATCAAATAATAAGCTCTTGGCAAGTAAGGAACAATTAGGTTCCAAATCGTGATGATGTAATTAGATATATTTTCGTCTTCTTTTCATTATAAAGATCTATTCATTTCTTTTATAGTAAAAATAGCATTCAATACACACGCATTCATAGTAATGTATCTGTCATACCATTCTTTGTCAACATTTAGTGACAGAATCATGACTCGCATTATAGAAACCTCTTTAAACTTTCAAACATATAGGCATACCGTTATAATAGTAACATTCCAGTCTTATCCAAATTCCACTTCATTTTCAAGGCTTGATTTGAAATTGGCTTTATGGCTCACATTTTCTTATGCATGGCAAATGTTTGACCAACTTCATAATGAATATTCGGGATCTTCCGCCGTTTCGTGATCTTATAGGAGTTATGGAAAGTTTGCTCGAGTTCAAGTCTTTTTATGAAGCTATTACGTATAAATATTGTACTCAAATGTATTTTATTTTATTTCCATATGAAGTCAAACTCTTACAAAATATCAGATGGGATTTTTATGTTCATTTCTTTTTTAATCCCATAAAACTCTTATTGCTCGTATCGTCTTCTTCAGTCTCTCCCTTTAGAACTCTCCTTTTGAAAATACCCTTCACTCAATTATCGTATACTTCTTGATTCATTAAATTAGAAAAACATTTTTTCCTAAATAAATTACTTACAATATACAGCCTCCGTGCGGTAAACATTGAGAAGCACATAGATCGTGGATAGAAGAGTGATCCCCATGTTCTTACAAATGTCAGCAACAAAATGGACGTATTACAGAAGTTCACGACTTCCTCTTTATCTGTTGTCATCTTATCTCCTCCAGACTTTTCGTATATGCCAATAAAATCCCACATTTATTGTCAGAGACTTACAAAGTCCTGCTCTGGTACAATATGGAGCTAAACAAAACTTGATTGTAATCTTAATCTTCTTTGCCTATACTGTGATAATCTGAGTTAACACCATTTTATTGAAAATTCAATAAAATCAATAAAATAGTTTTAACTCAGTTAATCGAATGGAGGTGATTCGACTCTCCGTTTTTGTAGCAGTATACCGTTATGGTGAAAACTACGACCAGAAGTTATGCTCGCATTCTCATGGGACAAAGTTACTGGGATGTTGAACTGATCGACTTCGAATGGAAAGAAGGTTACGAACCTCCCATTTCAAGTCACGTTCCCTCTCAAGCATTAAAGCCTTCGGTAATGAATTATATAATATATCATTTTAATGTTATGATGGTTCGTGAGAAATATTAATATATTCCTGCCACCAAAGACAATTTTTAAAAGACACCAGTAACATTTTGACCAAAGAATTTCATCTGCCACGTTGTACGTCTGGAGGTTTAGTCAGCCATATTCAAATCTCACTATTAACCTTTCTTTTCAATTTTATTTTACAAGCGTGTGATCCTATCTTGAGTCAGAAAAATAATTATGTCATTAAAGATATTTTTTTGCTTGAAATTATACAAAAAAGACAGCAAAATAGTAAACAACTGGTATTAACGTGAAAAAAAATCTGCTGCTTTTATCTGTAATACACTTTAGCTAATAAACATGTTTCAGCATAGAGTTAAAAGGAAAATTTGTTTGCTCCGAGTGGTAATGGATAAGTAGGTATATTTCAACTCAGTATATATATATATATATATATATATATATATATATATATATATATATATATATATATATATATATATATATATACATATACATATATATACATATACATATATATACATATATATATATATATATATATATATATATATATATATATATATATATATATATAATATATAATATATATATATATATATATATATATATATATATATATATATATATATATATAATTTATGGATTTTGTGTCAAAACTCTTTAATTTAGCACCAATTGTGATTCAGGAATATACTAACTCTGTTTACAACTTATCTGACTACAATTATAACGCCATATTTGATCTTTCATAAGACCGTTTCTATGCGTTACTTTTATCGACCTATGGTAATCGTTGCGATACTTTTATCGACCTATGCTAATCGTAGCGATTCTGTTATCGATCTGTGCTAATCGTAGCAAGGATCGTGATTATTAACCGAGTCAGCACTCAGTTTTATTTGAAAATCTAAATCCCCAAAATTGGCCTAACTGTAAGGACAGAGGTATATATTGTGTAAAATCTGGAGGTGGTTTTCTCAATACGAAAAATTCGCTGCTGGAAAGGAAAACAACTAATGTTTTCAAATAGCGTTAAAGAATGATTACGTAACAGAAATTATTTAACATTACCAGAAGAAGCATCTTCTTCTTCCTCTACGTCAAAATCTTTACCGGCAACACGACATAATAGTTCCATTGACATCACCGTTATTATTTGCCATCATAATGTGAATGAAATTCTCCATCGATAATTTGCCATCTGCAAGGCTTTTTTTAAATGTATTCGCCTCATGAAGAAACAAAATGTAGCTTTCAAATGCATTGTATATTAAATTATTTTGTAAGTATGCAATCAAAAGCTTGTTTGACCGCTCCGGTAGCCTCGGTGGTAAGATCATCCGACACTGATGCGGGAGGTCGCAGGTTCAACCCCAACGGAATCATACCAAACACATATAAAAGTGGAACTAGCAGCACTAAGAGGCTAATGTTAGGATTAGTTGGCCTGGTGTCAGGATAATTTGACTGGGTAGCAGATAATGCCACATGTCTGCGGCATGATGAACCAGAGTTAGATATTACTATAAACTCTCACACTGCAGACATCATAGCCATAGGACTAAACTTATTGATGCTACATTGCAAAAAACCTAATTACCGAATTACATACAAAATACACATAACACAAAGGCTTGTTTAATATGGTTACATTGTGTGAAGACTTTTTAATGCAAATCACATAATCCGTGAAAGTTATACTTTCCCCTAGTTGACAAATGAAATCTACAATACAGACAATTCAATAATATCGGCACAATTTAAAGTAAATTATCACCACCGCCTATCTTACGTACTTTTTCAATGACATGCTAGAAAGATAAATAATTACTATTTTGAACTATCCTCAACTCCTTGACTGTTAATACGTCATAATAATTTCACTGATATCAAAATGACTAGATAATATGACAGCACGTAAACAATCGTTTAAAGCTATTGAAACCGAACGAGTTCTTCAGTTTGTTTAATTTAAAGGTTCTAGAGATTTTTTTTAAAAACCTACGTATTTAATTGATTAGATGTGGAGTGTTTATTTGCAACACCTATCATTTTATCAATCTGTTCTACGAAAATCTTGTAGGACGTTCGTCCGCCAAACATTTACCGGGTTAGAAGTATCACTACAATTACCTCCAATTCTCCTTTGGAGAGTCAAAGTTAATATACTCGCATCGAAAAGGACGAGTATGTTCCGAATGGCATATCCTGGCATTTGGAACATCATGGTCTCTACCATTGCAAATAGAAAAACTTTGAATTTCTAAAGGAGACTGAACTAATCGTGGTTATACTTCTTAACGTATTTAGTCAAGTCCAGGCTCCAATCAGACTTTTGCTCTCCTCTAGACTAGGGTTTGCTCAAGTCCTTCATTTATATCTGTTACTGATTGATGGTTCTTAGCAAAACATTGAAGAAACACAACTACGCCAGATTTCATCT